GGATGGGTGTTCTGCTTGAGTAGCAAAGCCCTCAGGCTCACTACAGGCTGTACCTTTGCTGGGGTGCAGGTGCCTTGTCAGCACTTCCTCTCCACCTGTCCCCAGAACCATGGGTAGATGACCTCTAGTGCAACAAAAAATAAATGACCCAGAGACTGATATTGGGGTTCAAGCTTCAAGCTGAATATCAGAAAAGCAAAGCAACCGGCCACAAACTGTCACCTCTAGCTCAGGCTGAAAGGGCTGATGCATGCACGAGCTCTTCACCAAGTCTCAAACTGCTGCCTTTCTTCAGTGTGGCTGGGGAATGAATGCCTCTCTGAGACCTTGCTTATGTCTTATATACCTACCTAATGTTGGGATTAAAAGTGTGAGCTATAATTCTCTTTTAGACTGATTCACTCATGTGTAGATTTGGGTGGCCTTGGACTCTCAGAGATCCATCTATCTCTTAATCCTGAGTCCTAGGATTAAAGGTGTGTGCCACCACCTCCTAGCTTCTGGCTGCTGGGATTAAAGGGGTGTGCCTGGCTTCTATGATAGGCTTGTGACTGACTTTGCTTTCTGAATCTTCAGGTAAGCTTTAATAAACAGTATCTCACCACACTCTAGTATTGGATACAGAGTCGGGCAAAGCAGCCTGGATACACATTGGAAGAACACAGTCAAATCTTAGTTTTCCTCTTTGTCTAAAACTAACTCGTTCATCTACAGAACGGGGAGCCTACAGTGTCATAGTGATGAAAAGGAGCCCACCCCAACTGCCCCGTCTGGGTCCTTGGTGCCAGAGCTGTGCATGTAATAATCTCACTGTGCTTCCACCCCCACAGCCCAGTGGATTTCCGTGTCAGATGTGACAGGAAGGGAGACAGCAGAAGCAGGGACTTGGGTGGCAGTTGCTCAGGTCAGGCTATCCACATTAGCCACCTCTGAGGGTCCCAATCACAGTAGAGCCCATAGGTGCCTCTATGGTGGCCCCAGCATCTTAGGAGGACTTTGCACACTGGAGGTGTACAGGACACAGTTTAGGTGCCTTTCTGTGGTAGTCCTGGCCCTTTCAGAGGAGACCAAGGCCTGTAGGGCAGACAGGAGGGGACGGAATCCAGGAATGCTGGTGTGGATGGTGGGAGTAATAGCCTGGGTGTGGGGTGCTCAAGGACCCCCTCAGACTGTGGGAGGAGTCAGGCAGGGTGTGGGTCAGGCATTTAGCTGGGGCTGCCAAACAGCTGATGGTTTATGGGAAGAGGGTGGCCAGCAGACCAAAGAGGTGTCTGGGGGTCACTCAGTGACTGTCCTGATGGCATTGGAACCGCAATGTGGGCAGGAGAGGTAGACCCAAAATCGTCACACTCCCCAGCATTGAAGCTGCCAGAGTACCTTGTCTCCACCCACCAGGACAGGAATAGCGTCCATTTCACTTCACAGGTTGGGAGGGGACTTGTGGTTAAGGTTAGAGTGTCAACACACTTGGCTTGGGGACTCCTGTGAGGTGATCTAAAGCCTTATGAACCCTTCCTGGGACCAAGTGATGGGGGTACCTTGGTGGCCAGAAATTCCACCTTTCTTCCCACTATTGCTGCTGTCAGAGACCTGGCTGGTAGTTTTCTCCACTCTCTTTCGTGTATGTGGTGTGTGTGTGTGTGTGTGTGTGTGATGTGATATGTGTGTGTGTGTGTGTGTGTGTGTGTGGTGTGATGTGTGTGATGTGTGTGTGTGTGTGTGGTGTATGTGTGAATGTGTGTATGATGTGTGTGTGTGTGGTGTGATATGTGTGTGTGTGTGGTGTGTGTGTGTGTGTGTGTGTGTGTGTGTGATGTGATATGTGTGTGTGATGTGTGTGTGTGTATGTGTGTGATGTGTGTATGTGTGTGATGTGTGGGTGTGTATGTGTGTGATGTGTGTGTGTATGTGTGTGCTGTGTGTGTGTGTATGTGTGTGATGTGTGTATGTGTGTGATGTGTGGGTGTGTATGTGTGTGATGTGTGTGTGTATGTGTGTGCTGTGTGTGTGTGTGGTGTGATGTGATGTGATGTGTGTGTGTGGTGTGTGCACATATTTTCGCTCATGTCCAGGGGTCAGAGGAGGACATAAATGCATTGCTCTCCTGAGACAGGGTCTCTCATTTCATGTGACGTGAGGCTGGCAGCCAGCAAGTCCCAGCTATCTCCTGTCTCTGTCCTCTCCCTCTGAGTGCTGGGGTTACAGGTACCTGCCCAGCTATGCTTATGTGGGTGCTGAACTCAAATCCTCATGCTTGTGCAGGAAGTGCTCTTACCTGATGGACACCTCCCTAGCCGCAGCTCCTTGCTGAAGTCTAATGTCTGTCCAGTAAAAATCATCTGAATGTATCTGGGTTTGGGGACAACCGTGTAAGTTCTGTGACCACCGCCACTAAGACAGAATATTTCTGTCAACACAAGAACTTCTCCAGGCTTCTGTGTAGTCCTCTCTTTCCTCACCCCAAACTCTGACCCCACAACCCCCCTCTCCAGTGTCACTGAGAAGCAGCCATGTAGTAGGTGACCTTTTGTGCTGGCTTTTGTCGCTTAGCATGCGTTTTCCCTCAGAGCCAGCCGCTGCACTCACCCCTTCACAGCAGGAGCATACTTGAATGGCTTGGGGATGGCCATGAACCAAGCTGCTACATACCGTGTGCAGACCATAGCCATCCGTGTGCTCACTTGTCTTGGGGGAGCACCCTCAAGTGTAAATGTCCTGTTGTATAGAAGCTGCCCCCTCAGGCAGACTGCCAACCTGTTTTCACCTCAGAATGGTTGTGTTCCAGCATCAAATGAGGGCTGAGAGCTCTGTGTATGTGGCCGAGAGGGATATCTCTGCATGTGTATGTGCACATTGCATGTATCTGGAGGCCAGAGGATGTATGTCCTGCCCTGTCACTCTCTGCCTTATTCCCTGAGACAGACAAGCCCCAGCAATCCTCCTGTCTCTGTCTGACACAACACTGGGATTACAGGCACTAGAGCAGCCATGCCTGGCTTTCTATATGGTCACTAGCGATTTGAACTTGGGTTCTCATGCTTCCATAGCGAGCATTCTTAGCTACTGAGCTCTCTCTCCAGCCCCAGCAGCAGGAAACTAAGATTCAAGATGTGTATGAGGCCAGCTGGGTGCCTCTCCCAGTCAGGGTACCTAAAACTACTGCTTCCTCTATCCTTTACCTGGGATGACTTCCTGCCCTTCACACTACCCAGAGGCCACTTAGGGAGCCCACTCAACTATCTGGGACTCCCAAGATATTCCAGCCCTTTTGGCCTGGTGGCTGCTGGAGCCCTTGCACCCCTGGACAGTTCTAGAACTTTTTGTCTTCTTGAAGAGAGCAAAGCAAACCTTTCTCATGCTACCCCACCCCTTGGGCCCGGCACACAAGAACTTGTTCTAGAGAAGCCCAGAGGAGTGTGGGCAGGGTAGAAGCTGGTGCCAGGCTTTGGAGCTAGTGTCTGGGGCCCTTAAGAGAAGGAAGCAGAGATTCGAGGTGACACAGACCAAAGTGTCCTGACAGGCTTGGCCTCCAGGGCCTCCAGGGTTGCCCATTCCTCTCCCCTCCCTGCTTCCCTCCTCTCCCTCCCTTGTGGATTGGGTGGAGGGATCTGTGCAGGGCAGTGGAGAGAGAGTTAGGGCTGCTAACCAGTTCTTAAGTTGTTGTCTCACGTGGACTGGAATCTGAGATGCCCTGGAAGCCCTGCATCCTTCCACCTTTGTCTGCCCGCTGTTGCCCATGACTCTTTGCTTAAGATGACAGGATAGACAGGCTCCATTTTCTGTAAGGCTGGCAGGGCACAGGAGCTGGGGAAGAAAGGGTACCCTAGCTCCTAGCCCATGGAGGATGCCCCCACTCCAGCTGCTGATCCTGAGGCACAGACCAAGCAGTGTCCCAGGGAGGGAAATGTCATTCGGTCAATGAGTGGCAGAGAAGCCACCAGTGACCTTGTCCTGCAGCGTTGACTGTTTCTGTTTGTCTTCTGGCTGCTATCTGCACATCTATAAAGTGCTTGCCCTTCTCCAAGTCTGTCCTAGCCTCTATGCCACTTCAGGAGATCATCAGTAGTGGGAGAAAGTACCATGCCTTTGTGTGGTGCCCCCGGTGCTACTGGTACGGGCAATGTTGAGCAGGAGTGAAGCCTGAGGCACATAGGGATGGTCTTGAGGGAGGGACTTATGTCCTTGACACTGAGTCTGGCACTGACTCCATGATCACAACTCCACCACAGCCCTGCCTTACCAGCTGAGTCCCTGTGCTGCCCTGTCTGTCATCTCCTCCTCCAGGGGTCTTCCGGAGAGGCAAGCTTCCTGCTGGTTCTTTGGGTGGTGACCACTGTGTGTCATTTAGTGTGGTGATTTCCATCAATGTCTGTGTCCTGGGAAGGAGTATTGGTTCAGGACAAGAGCCATGTGTGTTCCATGTTGGTAGCTTCAGTGCCGAGGTCAGGACTTGGTAGATAATGAGCGATGGTGAATAAGATGAAGAGGACGAATGTTTGTAGTGACAGTGAAGGGTGCAGGACAGGGGGATGGGACATCGCAGCTGAGGGTGGGAGGAAGTTACTGCTAGTGGGGGGGCAGGATGGAGGTGGTGGATAGCCCGGCAGTCCTCAACCTTCCTGACGCTACAACCCATTAACACAGTTAGTTCCTCATGCTGTGGGAACCCCCAACCGTAACATTATTTTTGTTGCTACTTTATAACTGCAATTTTGCTACTGTTGTGAGTCATAATGTGAATATCTGATATGTAGGATGTCGGATACGTGACCCACAAAGGGGTCACGCCCCACAGGTTGAGAACCACTGCAGTAGAGGGTGGCGGTTGGGGAACCAGTGATGGTAGCGGGAAGGATGGCGGTTACAGCTGGCTGCGCTGGTGAAGGTGCAAATGCTGGCCAGTGCATGACCGCCGCTTCTTCCCTGGCCTCCCCTACGAGACCCGGACCAGGCTCTTGGTTCTATTAAGTTCTCTGAGGCTGTGGCCTGTTCCTTTGCAGACTCCATCGGGGGCTCCTTCCCGGTCACCTCTCACCGATGCCATCACAAACAGAAGCACTGCCCTCCTGCGCTGTCAGCCGGGGGGCTCCCGGCCACCCCGTTGCTCTTCCACCCCCACACTAAGGGCTCCCAGATCCTCATGGACCTCAGCCACAAGGCCGTCAAGAGGCAGGCCAGCTTCTGCAATGCCATCACCTTCAGTAACCGCCCAGTGCTCATCTACGAGCAAGTCAGGCTGAAGGTGGGAGCCCCCGACCCCTGCCTTTGACCTCTTTGGCCTGCGGTTCTGCTTCCAGCAGCCTGCCCCCATCTCCTTTTATTGTTTCCTTCTCTCCCCCTTACTCCTTTCCTGGCCCTCCTGGGTAATAAGACTCAGTGGGAGTGACCTTCACTAACCATGGGTGGTGGGTGGGAATGAGCCACACAGTGAGTTTTCTGTCTGTCGGACACCCCTAAGAGTTGGCTGAGGGTGGTCTATAGTGAGCCCACCCCTTTCCCCTTGGTCATATGACCGAGGGGGAGAGGCTAGGCTAAGGGTCCCCACTCCCTGTGGCCAGATCACCAAGAAGCAATGCTGCTGGAGTGGCGCCCTGCGACTTGGCTTCACCAGCAAGGACCCTTCCCGAATCCAGCCCGACTCGTTGCCCAAGTACGCCTGCCCTGACCTGGTGTCTCAGAGTGGCTTCTGGGCCAAAGCTTTGCCTGAGGAGTTTGCCAACGAGGGCAACATCATTGCCTTCTGGGTGGACAAGAAGGGCCGCGTCTTCTACTGTATCAACGACTCGGCGGCCATGCTTTTCTTCAATGGCGTCCGCACGGCTGACCCACTCTGGGCCCTGGTGGATGTCTATGGCCTCACGCGGGGCGTCCAGCTGCTAGGTGAGTGCCACCCATCTGCTTCATTAGCTTTGGGGCATACCCTGCCTGAGAGTTCAGGTGTTGGGACTGACCTCCATTCCCATGGGTCATGGGGGCTGCATGGAGGCTAAGGGGCCCAGGAACAATTCTAGGGCTTTTCTATGAACTGCAGTTCCCCCCTCCTGACCACAGCTTTGGCAAGTGAAGCTTAGCAAGATTATTAGCAACCCCCACAGGCCCTCACTCAGGGTGCTTTCTGAGTTGGGCACAACTTCCACCACCAGAAATGGCTGCCCTGTCCCTGTCCTGGTGAGGTTAATGTTGCTTTCAGTAACCATTGTCTCATAGCAACTCTGAGACAATTTGAGGAGACTCACATTGAGGGATGTTGAGTCCTTCTTGGATGGGTGGTGTAGCCTGCTCTCCATACTGGGTCTACCCAGCCCAAAACCAAGTTGTGGCCCTGGCCTACAGCTGTCCTAGCACCTGGGCTCCACCCTAGGGCTTTCTGCAACCTTGCTAAGGGAATGGGAGAGGGGAGCAGGAGGCACCAGGCACCAGGGGTGGGACTCAGACCCCTCAGCTTAACTCAGTCCTTGCATGGGGAGGGGAAGGACAAACACCCCATAGGAGCTGCTGGGGGACATCAGAAGATGAGCTGGGCCTGGATCACCAAGGGACAGGCTTCCCAGCCATGGCATCTGTCAGAACTGCCAGGGCCCTCAGACTGCAAGTTCACACAGGGAGCTGGTGATGGAGGGGATAATAGCCCAGCCCTTCTTCCCGGCTTGACATATGTGTCATGTATATTCAAGTGTGTGCTTGCAGACATGTGAACTCTACATACAAACAGAGCCTGATCAAACAGCTCCCTCATCTGGAAAACAGGTCCTGGGAGGAGTTAAAGAGGCTGAGTAGCTGCACTGCCCTGGGTATCAAAGACATGTCCAGCCAATGCTGGCCACTTCTGTCCCCATCCCCACTCCCTTTCTCTTGCAGAGAGAAATGCTGCAAGGGGGGGTTCAAAACCCGTTTCCGTTTTCCTTTCTGCCTTCCGAGCCTAGAAATTGTGACTGTTTTCAGAGCACTTTGACTTGAGGAAAAAAAAAAAAAAAAAAAAAAAAAAAAAAAAAGAAAAAAAACAAACAATTTTTCTTTGGGAAAAAAAAAAAAAAAAAAAAAAAAAAAGGAAAGGAAAGACAAAGACATGAGTAATGGCCAGAAGCCTGTGAGTTAAGTTCCAAACATCAGGAGGCTGTTTTTGTTAACTAGCAGTTTGGGAACTTTCTGTTTTTCAAGTCAATAAAAGTGTTCCTGTGTTCACGCTGACATGTCGAGAGCCCCAAACAGGCTATTCCTGGTGACAGCTACTGAAGAAGGGTATCCGGGCTGGCTGGGCAGCCTCCCCCACTTCCTCTATGTACTGGGTGCACCTGAGGGGCTCTGCCTGCCAGAAATTGTGTCTTAGCTACGGAGACAGATCTGGGCTGGATCCTGGGTTAGCACAAGGGTGCCTGTGCCAGGTGGTGGGCCCATGTGTACTGTGGATGGCCATATGTGGGTCAGTGGGGGCACAGCAGTGGCCAGTGCTGTCAATCATCCCTACCTCTGCTGTGGAGGACAATTGCTTAACCCACAGTTCACAGGAGCCCCTTCCTGCTGCCCCAGTGTCCTCTGGGTCTCACACTATAAGGCAAGTAGAACTCCAAAGCTTAAGTCTGAGTCCAGTCCAGCCTCAACCATCTGCTCTGAAAAGTGTCTGTGTCTTACTGGGGTCCCTGCCACATGGTGGAGGGCAGGGAATGAGTGACTTCCAGCTCTGGAGAAGGTCACCATCCTGTTGTGTGAGGGGTGAAGGAGGTGGGAGCAACACTCTTAGTCCTACCTAAGCAAAGAATACTCCTCTCACCTCTCCAGACTGAGAGCTGGCCTCCAGCATGCTAGGCCAGTGTTCCACCCCTGAATGGGAGCTTTGAACTCTTCATTTTGAGACAGGGTCTCACTGGTTGCCCAGGCTGCCTGTGAACTTGCATGTTCCTGCCTCTGCCTCCCAAGTAGCTGAGGTTACAAGCCTGTGCTACCAGCTCTGGCCAAGAGTGCCTTTCCTCTCAGTTTCCACTCTTGCCTGGAGGCCCACCTTTGATGCCACCTCCTCCCTGAGGCCTCTGATTAGAATTTTCCTCTCTGTCCTGATGCCACCACAGCTCTATGGTCTCTGGGATCCTCAGTCCATCCTTGTGTCTGATTTCCCATAGGACAGGAGTTCCTTTGAGGAAGGGACCCAGGTCTTTCCTACACTGCCTCCCTGTGTATCACGACTCCTTTGGGGTATGGAGTGACCCTTTCACAGGGGTCGTTTAGGACCATCAGAAAACATGGACATTGCATTAGGATTCATAGTAGCAAAATTACAGTCATAACGTAGCAGCAAACATAATTTTATGGTTGGGGTCACCATGACCCGAGGGACTGCATTAAAGGGCGGCAGCATTAGGAAGACTGAGAAGCACTGCTCTAGAGACTACCTTATCCAACCTTGCAGGCCTTGCTGGGTTTAGGCTGTAACACAGGAGGGGAGAGTGGAGGCTGGCTGAAAGGGAGCACTGGGAAATGTTAGCTGAAGAAAAGAACAGGTAGGCGGGGCTGAAGGAGGCCTGCCTTACCATCAGACAGCTCTGGGCTCACTGGGCAGTGAGGAAGGCAAAGGAGACACCAGGACTCAATCACCAACCAGGAAAGAGTTGTAAATCGCTAACCTCTGTGGTCATAGCTTCCATCATTAGCTCACTTAACCCTAAGCAGGGAGAAGACTGAGGTCTGGGAAGGCCTGGCCTGCCCATGTAGGGATATGGTCTAGCTGGCTCTGAACAAAGAGTTCCACGATAAAGCAGTGTCTTTCCCATGGCCTCCAGCAGGTTTACACATAAAAGGAGCCCGGAAGTCAATGGAGGCTCAGGTCTGTGGCAGTAGAATCTTGAGAGACTTCTTGTAAGAGGAGGCTCAAGCAGGCCTTACACATTGTAGGAGACTGGATTGGACAGGTGGGAACAAGGGGAGACTGTGCCTAATGACATGGGGGCTCCAACCTTCAGGGTAGGTAGGGGTGGAAGCTGGAGATGAATCAGCAGGGCCTCATGCTGGCTCTGGAGCCCAATCTGACCCACACCCCTTCTGTGACTATACATGGGTTTTCTTAGAGAAGTTCAGTTGCCCTTGGATCTGCTGCAGGCTACTCTGCTGAGGCCTGTGACTGCTGTCCTGGCGTAAATCACCACAATTCCTGGCATTTTCAAACAGGGATTATGGCCCCTAAAGTCAATTAGCAGATTAAAATATTTCCTCACTTTGGTCCTCCTAAACTAATTTGTGTGTGTGTGTGTGTGTGTGTGTGTGTGTGTGTGTGTGTATAAAACAAGAGAGACAGAGAGGGGAGGGTTAGAGGTGAGGAGGAGGCTGGGGGAAGAAAGAGAGGGTAGGGGCAAAGGTCTGGATCCCTCAGGGGTCTCAAAGGTGGCCCTGGCCTTACTCTAACCAAGTGCTGAGATTCCAGGCCACCATGCCCAGCACATTTGAATCTTTTGTTGTCCCCCTCTTAGCAGCCCTCTCTCAAGAAAATTGTTCCCTTTCTTGGTGGCTCTGAAGATGGGCCAGTCACTCCTGGGTTGACTATCCCCCAAGGATTATTTGGCCTTTAGGAACTTCCTCCAGGTTCCCCTGGCCCCTCCAACTTGTGTGTGGAGCAAAGCCCCAACACCTGACCTGTCCAGTCGTCAGGGCCCAAGTGTAGTCAAGTTCTTGGCACACTGAGTGTAGCAGGTATGCTCACACTTGATATTGGAGCCAGCCCATAAATGGATGGCTGTGTCCCTGAAGAAGTGGACAGTTCAGAGGCTGGGCTCTTAACTATTTCACTGCAGTCCAGACTCAGACAGCAGGCCGACTCCTGGCCTTCCAGGCCACATCTCCATGTCCCGGAGCTCAGTAGCTCACGCTCTTTCCTGTGGGTGCCCTGGCCCGAACCTGGGATGGCATCTCCAAGAATAACAGCTTCATACCTCCAGGAAGAAAAGCCTGCCAGCAACCAAATAAACACAAGTTTTATGGGGTGATTAATACTCGAACAGATAAACTCCTATCCCAGTTTCTTGTGGTCTCCCTGCTTCTCGACTTGGTGTGGAACACAGGCCTGAAACCTCAGCATTTAGGAAGTTGAAGCAGGAGGATTGTGAGTTCAAGGTCAGCCCAGACTACATGAGACTGTGTCCCCAAAAGAAAAAGGTGGAAAGAGCAGCCATGATCTTGCAAAAGGCAGGTGAGCCCAGACTCCACTCACAAGGTGTCCTGGTCATTGTGCAGTGCCTGACATGGCCTGGGCTCTCTGCAGAGAAGGGAGAGTGATGGGAGAATTGAAAGCCAGCTCCTCACCTTGCTGGGTTTTCACCAAAAAAAAAGCCATATCGTAGCTATGAAGTGGCCCAAATCTGATTCTGCAATTCAGTGTGACCTGAGGTGTCCAACTGTGGTGTGCTGCTGGGGGTAATCCAGGGGGACTTCTGTGGGAAAAGAAATCCAAGTCGGTGAAAAGAATGGAGTGGCTGAAGAACAATTTAGCCATACATGGGTGTTCCCTGGCACGGAGTGGGGATGAGCCAAGAGGGAAGTCCCATTCTGGAGGGGATAGTGAGGAAGAAAGGCAGCGGGCAGCTTGTGGCCTTAAGGGTTGTTCACAACTGGGCACACATGCACACGTATGCATGCGTGCGAGTGTCACACACACACACAGAGAGAGAGAGAGAGAGAGAGAGAGAGAGAGA